GTAATGAACACAAATCATTTCTCTATGAAAGCTAGGTCATCTTCCACTCTAGATAACCACATGAAAGTGATTCTTTAAAACTTGAAAATAAATATGAAAACCTCTTTAAACGCATACTGTTAGAGGAAGTAGACTGGGAGAAAGTAAACAATTACTGGGAACCAGACTGTACTGAACTACACTTTAACTTCCATGTTTACAAACCTGGCAACAGTATGAAAATATTCTAGCAAAGTTTAACATAAGAAACACCCAAAACACTATTTTACCCACACATACAAACCAATTCATCATTAGTATGAATGATTACCTCAATTTTGTACCCAAACCAGGTAACTAAGTATTCACACACACACACACACACACACACACACACACACTGCAAAGCTATAAAGAGCTAGCTGTTGCAAGAGAAACACACAGAATTAACAAAAGTGGCACAGACACAATGTTCAAATAAAGGAAAATCAGATTTTTAACTGCACAAAATATTTGCTCATGGTTGATTTGACATAAGAAACACAACTGCTAAACTGCACTCTGTCAGAAGCTCCTCTTGGCAGAACCAGTGAGGTTTAATTACACACATCTTATATCAGATAGAGACAGTAGCTCCTTCATGGAAGTGATATTCACTGTAGCACAGTGTGATAATGGGCAAGAAGCAAAATACGTGACAGGATAGTGATGGGGACGTATACAGTATAAACAGAATGTGATATGCCTTATCCTACTGTTTGCAGATTGTTAAATAATTTATGGGATAAAATTACATGCAAGAACACAGTTCACACATAACCACAGCAACGATACACACAGGCTGACTGTATGTGCATACAAACAGGAACATACCTTCGAGGGAACAGTAACTGTACACCAGCCATACTGGAATACACCAAAGACAATGCATTTCTTTTCCTTTATGTAATCCATATCCCAAAAACATAATGGCAGGTGCTACCAAAAACATTTTGTTTTTACAAATACCCACTATCAACACACCAGAGCCTCCACAGGACAAATGGTGTAAGTACAGTGCATCCAGAAAGTATTCACAGTGCTGAACTTTTTCCACATTTTGTTAGGTTACAGCCTTATTCCAAGATGGATAAAATGTATTATTGTTCTCAAAATTCTACAAATACCCCATAATGACAATGTGAAAAAGGCTTGTTTGAAATCTTTGCAAATTTATTAAAAAATAAAAAACAAAAACAAAAAATCTAATGTATATAAATATTTCTTTAATTTTAAATTTGAAAATGCTATAAAACCACAGATTATAAGTAACCATCTTTCTGTCAGGAACCATCTTTCTGAATAGATGAACCGATATGTTCTAAGCAGTTTTGGTCTCTGATCTTCAAAAGCTTTTCTTTGCGTGATGTCCCACACATTCTGAACTCACTTTCTAATACATGCATGTCCTCTTAGACGTGAAGTGACACAGGCCCACGATCTCGCTTTCTTTTCTCACCACACAGAGAAGCGTTCTCTCAGGCACCCTCACACTTTGTTTTTGCTCTCAGTGTCTCGGACAGAGCAACAGAGTGACAGAGACAGACCTTGCCTCTAGCCCTTCAGCTCCCTCAGAAAGCATCTTAATGTGGGTTTACATAATCTCAGCTTCCTCTGAACTGGATAGAACAAGAATCAAAATTCTGCTCTCTGTATCTGCTATAGCAAGATTACTTTACACGTGTCAAGTTTCTGGATGTAGAATGAAGAAAAATTAGTTGGACCAGCTTTCACATCATGTTTTTCAAATTAGCTAAGAGAGAAAGTGCTGGGCAGGGTGAGTGAATTCAAAGGAGGACTGTGTCCGTATTGTTTGCATGAAAAACTATGAATCAGCATAGACAGACTGATATCATTAGAAGCGGGAGGAAAGGCAGCACAGAGATGTTTAAGGAGGGATATTCTGTACCTCATGTCTCCAATCTTCCTGGTGATGGTGCTGCTGAAGGTGTTGAAGGCTGCAGAGGTTCTCTGTCCTGCTGTGGACAGCGTCTCTGATGTCCTCTTATAGCTGACAGACACACCAGAGAAGAAGCATTAACATATACCTTTAGTATTTTATACATTTATGTACTGAGCGAATGCAACTTTTTTCTTCACCATATTGTCCTTGTTCACTAGTAGCATTGTTATGTCCAAATCAATTCATTTGAATTATATAAAATCAAAGGTGAGTTCATGTATTTTTTTTCATCTTTGGATCATGAACTGCAGCTTTAACTAATGGCACCTTTGTGTCTCTATCACGTTCCACTCCTGGGGTCACACTGGTTCATTATAGATGAGGTTGGAGGCTGTGTGTGTAAAGTGATCTTCAGGTTCAAGTGTAACTGGATAAGAAGGGACGCCTCTAGAGACTATTCCCTTGCTCTTCTGTCTCCAAGTGTCTGGGTTAGAGCTCAGAGCTGATCATCTAATCAGGAAATCTCATTATTTCACTAAAAATAACTAAGAAGTATTAAAGAAGTTCCATTCTGAAATTTAAAACTGTGATAAAATACTGCATATCGCAATTAAGTTATTTTAAAATTTGTATTTGTTAAGGTAGCTATCTTTTACAATGGAATACATGCACAAGTTGTTCACTAAACTGTTTTTTACTTCCTTCTCTATGTAGGGAACTGACATTTAAATGGCACACAAGAGAACACAGTATCATCGTTTGCAGTGTAAACACCGGAGAGGACATGCAAAGTGAAGTGTGCAGTGAGGTCAGCTGTGGCCTTTAGCACTGGTTGATGTGTTTTTAAATCAGATTCATTATGTCTGTTACAGTGAACACAACGATAACAAATCACATGCATGCTGTGCTGCTAGGAACAGAGGATTATATCTTTTTTCACTGGGTTGGTGATAGCTCTGCCTCCAAAACACACTCAGCTTGGAGGATGACTTTATGCTACATTAGCTGTTTAAAAAAGAATGACCTCTCCTTTGTGTGTTTATTTTCTTTACAGGGTTTCTGACATGACACACACACACACGCACTTCCTCTTCACATTTCCTTCTTTGCATGATGCAAACTCTTTCTTTGTCTATCAGTTGTACCGTTCAGTCCATCTACCATACACATACACACATTAACGTACGCTGTGGAGCTCTGCATGTCATGCCAGCCTCTGCTGAAGTTGTTTCTGAGTTCGCTCAGAGGAGTGATGCCCAGTTTCTGTTTGAGTTCTGCATGCTGCTTCTCTTTGGACGACAAAACCTGCTTCAGTGTATTAATCTCGTCTTCCAGCTGGAGACACACATAGAGACAAAGGCCGTTACACAGCAGCAACACTCATCTAAGCTAGTGTATGAGTGTGAACCTACTTTGGCAAGTTCTTGCTGTATCTCCTCTCTCTCCTCCTCTGTCAGGGTGGAGCTGTTTAGGTTGACTTCTGACGCCATATCTTCATCAGCCTCTCTCAGTGACCCAGAGTCAAGAAAGCCTGTATTAAATATTCATACAAATTGGTGAAATGTTCAGTAATTTACCTGTGAAAACAGTGGAAATTAAGCATTGGTCGGAAAACAGTCAATTTGCCATTAACTTTGACTGGTTCTTGTTGTGCTTATTTTAAAGTTGCTTTGGACAAAAGTGTCTGACAAATGAATGTAAAGTTACTTCTATGGAAAATGATACTATGATTAAAATACAGCATCAAAAAACATTGTGTAATTCTGAACCAGAAGCTAGTGGCTTCTTCCGTTTTGCTCAAGTGTGTGCCCTTTTCCCTAACTGATTATTTTGTGTGCCACTGCCTTTCTGAATGTCTCTGTATCTCTGTCCACATATCTGTCTATGTGTCTAATGGTTTATCTGTCTGACAGTTAAGTAATCTGTGGCTGCAGTCTGGACAGCACTAATCTGGATTAACGGATACAGATTATGTTGCTTTAACTCTGATGACTGACACTTCAGCCTGCAACACACACACACACACACACAAACACGATGCTTTCAGGTTTCACAGGGCAGACTTGAATTTCAGTTTTGTAATAACTGGTTTGAGTGGTTCAGTGTATGAATAAAGAGCAGTAAAGGAAGTTTGAATTCTGGAACTAAAGTAGGTAAAACCTTATTTCATTTACATGTGAAACTTGACAGTTTGGAAAATAACAGGCATCAAATCTACCAGTAGTGTAGCCAAACAAGATATAGCAAATAACATAAATACCATGAGCATCAGAAATTCTTAACTTAAGCTGCCTTGTGTTCTTTATAACACCATTACTTTATGAGCCTATGAAAAATGGAGATTCACACAGACTGTGTGGGAAGATCGTCTGCTCTTTTTTGTTTTAAGGCTACTGACGTGATCAAGAGACACTGTTTTGGTGATCTCTTCATTAAAGTGAAGTTTACCGCTGTGCCACTAATCAATGATGATGGCGAGAATTACACGTATGCGCTGGCATCTTTATTAACATGAATTTCTCACAGTGCATGTGAGGAAGACAAATCAGGGCAAACGGGCCCAACACAGCAGCAGCCAATGGCCAGACGACTATGTACACACAACCTGAGAAGTGCAAATACATGTAGGCCAAGATGTGTTTGCAGTGGACACAGTTTTGACTAAATGGAAATTAGACGTATTTCTGTACCTGCTGTGAGGCGTTGCTTCTCTTGATGTGGCCGTGGATATAAAACAGGTGAAGACAGAGTCGGGTTAGTCGAGACTGATATACTGTTAGAAATGCTGTCTAGCGGCCACAGTGTAGTAGTTACTGCAACACAATTCTGTTAGCACTCCTCTAAGTTTAAGGTTTGGAGGGGCTCAGCAGCGAACACACACAGTTCACACAAGTGCAGTTCACAGCACTAAACTCAAGCACAGCAGGCACCAGTACAAGTCAGGCCTGTCTGCTGTAGCGAGCTTCTGTGCCTACATTACACAGCAGCGGAACAATCCAATTTTTTAAACCCCTGTGGCTTTTCATGTCTAAGTGCAAGTAAAACTCAGTTCTTTTCCATGTTCACACAGCCATGAAAAGAGACAAGAAGAACATTAACTCAAATACATTCAACCAGCTTAAGTTCTGTATTAACTGAACATGAACTGTGTCATTAATTAACAAAGACAAATCACTAAAGTGCAAAAAGAGATGGATGCAACATGCTAAGAACTGAGACATTCATAACACAATAACCATCTCGGCTGACACCCGCATCTTTGAGGCCAAATAATGGGTTAACATCATTTAACTCGTAGACTGAGCTTTCATATGAATGCTCTCCCATTCTGTGGCACATTTAATTGTGTATTACTGACCATCAAAGTGCTAAAGATTTTATTCCTTTAAAGGTAATGAGTTCAGACAGTACTGGTGCCACATCTTTAGTAAAATAGTTTTCAGGTATTTAGCATGTTGTAGCTGGCTTCCTTTTACCTCACATTTCTTTTTAAACATCACATTAAAAATAACAGCTGTAGAAAAGTGCATATGTTGTGCTTTGTCACAGTTTAGAACAGGCTGTATGTTATGGTTTTTCTAGGGAGTGTCAGAAAGCTGTATGCAAGACTTGTTTGTGTGAGTCACATGTGTTACAGTTTGTTATTGTGGAAACAAAAGGCACAGTGTGTGAGCTGCTCAATACCAATGGAGAGCGCAGCGTCTTTTCTTTAAACATGGAGCTGTATGAATAAACTTAAACTACATTATGGTCAGTTTTAAAATACAAAGTCAAATATCTGGCTATGGGTTTGAAATGTCACTTGCACTACAATACGCTCCTGTAGTGTTGCAGATTCACTGGTATGAGAAGAATGTTCTACGTTAGTGGTTCACGTCATGGGTCACTGGGTGAAATCTGTTAGATCAATTTTCAAAGTAGAATTCAAAGTTGCTCTGACAGCGTAAGGAGCGGATGCATTTTAAAAAATAATTTCACTGCATGTATGTCGCTTTCAACAGCTGATGTAAAAGAAAACACACCCGTTACTGTCACTTCCTATGATGCGGTTATAGTGCACAGCAGCAGTTTTCTACTTTGTGTGATTCAGTAGGTGAACCCTAGTTCCCATATTTTATCATCCTCGATCAAACCAGAAGTCATCCCATCCACCAACACGAAGGACGTCCCAAAGCTTTAATTTCTGCTCTGAGGAGTGAGGAGGCTGCCTGGAGGAGCTATAACCTAGGATTCATGAGCGCATCCTTTGCGGACATCTGTTACGGACTGACACGCTCCTTTACTGGAAATCAGTTTGTGATTGGCTGCTTCACATGAAGAATCAGAGGAAATTACATCTCATGCGAGTTAAAATGTGTTTCCTCATTATTCTCTCATCGCAGCTTTTTCTTGTATCTTATATGGGCAGGTGTATAACGCAAGGAAAAGATACAACTGAGAAAAACATGGATGTAATTAGTGGAACTGGGGTTCACCTAGTGTTTCAGTTGGGACAAGAGAGTCTTACCCTGCTCCCCCTTGTGTGTGGCTGAATTAACCCATTCCTCTCCAGGACCCATGCTGCCCCAGTCCACTACTGCTTCACTCAGAACACTAGAGTACGACTCTGCAGCAGAGCAAGGCAGCATGGTGAGATATGACAAGAAAACTGGTTATATACACATATACAAACACGCACAACCCCTCTTGAGGGATGTGGTGTTTCTCCAGTGTCCATTTTATCCTGGTCAGTGACTGGACAATAGTTAAGTCTGTTTAATGACAAGAGTTGGTGGAGGCAGCCTATCTTTGTCTGCATTTCCACAGTAACAGGAAATCTGACTTTTGACCCTTTGTGGCACAGATCTGAACTTCTCTGAGCTCTTCAAACAGGATATACCCAATTCCTGCT